ATTCCTGCTAGATAGTACATTCCCAAAGGATAGGGACTGGGGCTTATGTGCCTTTGTGTCCACTTTGAATCTTAGCACAGTGCTGGGTTTAGCAGAGGCTCAATAAATTCTGATCGAGTGATTGACTTTCTCCTCAGTTGCTATGTCCACCACAGGTGACAGGATTCTTGATACTGCACTCTCTAAGGTAACATTCCACCCCCCTCCCCCAATCCTAGTCCTTCTCCTTTTTCTTTCCCCCAAGAGATTTATTCTGATGCTCTTTCTTGCATGGCAGATTGGAGAGAAGAGCCTGTTTACCAAGGAGCTGGAACATGCATTAGAGAAGAAAGAGTAAGTTCGACAGGAGAATGTGGGCCCTCCCAGCCTCTTACTAGGACCCGAGTGTACATCAGACCTGTGTATCAGCTAGGCTGCTGGGCTTAAACCCTTGGGTAGGCTAGAGGGGGAGTCATATGTGTTTTTCATGAGTCAGAAAAAGAATGTCCTGGTTCTGAGCCATCTGTTTCCTTGGAGTGAAAGATTGATTGGGGGAAAGTAAGAGAGTGGGGAGAAAGGGAGCAGATCTCAGGGTCCTGAGGTCTGAGAGAGGCCTGCTTCTAGAACTGCTTTTAGTTTTGTCACTAAAATAGAGGCAGGGGTAGGTAGATGAGAAGAGGTGGAGGCTTGCTGCCTAGAGACCTTCTCCTTGCCTCCCTATCCCATCTTTTAGAGTGGACCTGGTGGTTCACTCCCTTAAGGACCTGCCCACTGTGCTTCCTCCGGGCTTCACCATTGGAGCCATCTGCAAGTAAGTGTTCTCTGAGTCTGGGCCTGGGCTGGGGGTGGGGGGATAGGCAGAATGTTAACCTTGGCTTTTCCCTTTGGGACTTGGCCCTCTGCCTCTAGGGTTTTGTCTCCCTTGCTCTGAAGAGTATTAAGCATGGCGGAAAAACTCCGAAAATGCCAGTTAGTTGGCTATCAAGAGAAATTGGAAGAGACCTTAACTGAGATTTCTCATTCTACAACCTTTCTTCCACTCTTAGACGAGAGAACCCCCATGATGCTGTTGTTTTTCACCCAAAATTTGTTGGGAAGACGCTAGAAACCTTGCCAGAAAAGAGGTGAGTGAGGCCTGGGTAGGGAAGTGCATGGAAGATGGAGGGTTGGAAGGAGGAGGAAAGGAAAAGTATCTGACTAGGGTTAAATCTCATTTTAAATCTTCTTTCTGAGCAGTGTGGTAGGAACCAGCTCCCTTCGGAGGGCAGCTCAGCTGCAGAGAAAGTTTCCACATCTGGAGTTCAAGAGTATTGTATCCTTTAAGGGAAGGGAGGGGACAGCAGCTAGCAGCCTGGGTGGAAGACGAGGTCCAGAGTGGTCCTGAGAATCCTGAAAATGAAAGGGGCTTCCAGAGGAAGTAGACCATAGGGGCAGTGGGCTGTCTGTCTTCCCATCCATCATCCACTCATAATCTTTTCATATTTTCTCAGCTTGGCACTGAGGATAATGCTGACAAAGATCAGCATTGTCCCTACTCATACAGAGTTTATGTTTTGGTTTGGGAGACAAACAGGCATTGACAATACAGAGTGATACTTTGGGAGTTGGTGAAGAGAAGGATGGAGGTACTTCTATTTTTATGTTCTATATAGTTTTGATTTTTTATAACAATGTAGTATGTTTTATAAAACTAAAATAAAATAGTATGTGCTAAGTGCTCCAATATGTAAAGTGGGGAACCTTCTAACTGGAACATGTACACACAGACTTCGAGGGCAAGGAAGGGTTCTTAGAGATCTTTGAAACCCTGGGCAAGTGTTTTAGCTGTCATTTTCCTCATCTGTAAAATGTAGATAATAATAAAATCTACCTCATAGAGTTTCTGTGATAATTAAATAGTACTTTAGAATAGTATCTGGCATGTAGTATGAAGTGTTACCTGTTTCCATTAAGCTGAAAAGCAAAAAGATGAGAAGTTAGTCAACTAGAAAGAGAATGTTCCAGGTAGAGGGAACAGTGCTCCTTAGCATCTCTCGACAGCGAGGAAACCTCAACACACGGCTTCAGAAGCTGGATGAGCTGCAAGAGTTCAGTGCCATCATCTTGGCTACAGCTGGCCTGCAGCGCATGGGCTGGCAGAACCGTATAGGGCAGGTAGGAGCTGCCCCTTTTCCCTCCCCAGTTAATCGTTATCCCCTTTCCTGCATATATATTCTTTTTAAAAAAAGATTTATTTGTAGAGAGGGGGAAGGGAGGGAGAGAGGGAAACATCAATGTGTGAGAGAAATGTCAATAGGTTGCCTCTCACAAGTGCCCCAGCCAGGGTCTAGGCCTGCAACCCAGGCATGTGCCCTGACCATGAATCAATGGGCAATTTCAAGTGGGGTGACACTTAACCTAGCAACACCAGTCAGGGTCTGCCTATATACCATATTTTGCTGTGTATAATGTGCACCCATGTTTTGTGTGCATTATACATGGGATTATTTTATCCTGTGGCATGCAATTGTTATACACATGTATAATGCACATCCTTATTTTTCCCTCAAAATTTTGGACCAAAAAGTGTACATTATACACAGCAAAATACAGTACTCTTCTTGAACACCCCATCTCTAACACTGCAAAGCTGGAACAGTCCCAGGTGGGAAGATTGGTGATCAAAGGCCAGAATCCCTCTTTTGCCTTTCCACGCTTTTTACATGATAGGGAAGCCCCATCTCACTGCTTCTGCCTGTTGTGCATCCACAGATTCTGCGTCCTGAGGAATGCATGTATGCTGTGGGTCAGGTATGCTTGACCAAGGAAGCCATGTATTAATAAGTCCAAGAAGCAGAACCTTCTGTACATCTGCTTCCCCTAGCATGAATGTTCCTAGGGAGGGGCAAGTCTTGGGAACCTACTATACCAAAAGGCCTTGGGGAACAATTGGAAGTGGGCTGGTTCCCATCCTTAGCTTCATTGGTTGGAAAAAAATTGGGCCTGATGCCTTAGCCTGTTCTTCCATCAGGGGGCCCTGGGCGTGGAAGTCCGAGCCAAGGATCAGGACATCTTGGATCTGGTGGGTATGTTGCACGACCCTGAGACTCTGCTTTGTTGCATCGCTGAACGGGCCTTCCTGAAGCATCTGGTAGGGCCTGTGTTCCACCTGTGGAGGGGTTGGGAGTTGAAAGGGTAGTGGGAAGATTTCTCAAGTTAATGCTCTATATTTAGTGGTAACTCATTCTTGAATGTTGTATACAAAGAAGACCCAGGCCTGGGCACCTAGCCCAGTTATGTCCTCACAGACCTATGGATCTCAGAGGACTCTGGTCACAGGGTAGTTAAGGGTTTTTGGAGCTCACAGGGAGAACTTCTCACTGCAGGAAGGAGGCTGCAGCGTACCAGTAGCAGTGCATACAGCTATAAAGGATGGACAAGTAAGCAGGGAAGATGGGTGGAAGGGTAGGTAGGGAAAGGAGGACTGTGGTAGCTTCACCCTGTTCATCCTGAGTTGCCAGCAAGAAAAGCCCAGGTTTTTAAAGTTTCCTCCCAGAATATGCTGAGGTAACTTATTTTTTTTTCCCCCAGCTATACCTGACTGGAGGAGTCTGGAGTCTGGATGGCTCAGATAGCATGCAAGAGACCATGCAGGCCACCATCCATATCTCTGCCCAGGTGCCAAGACAAGGGTGAGGGGAAGGGTAAGAAACAAGTCTGCCTCACCTCCCCTTTTGTACTCACCAAATCTTACTTTCTTCCCTGACCCAGTATGAAGATGGCCCTGAAGATGACCCACAGCTGGTGAGCATCACTGCCCAGAATATTCCACGAGTAGCCCAGCTGGCTGCTGAGAACCTGGGCATCAGCCTGGCCAACTTGTTGCTGAACAAAGGAGCCAAGAACATTTTAGACGTTGCACGGCAGCTTAACGATGCCCACTAACTGGTCTATGGGGCACAGGTGCCTGGTTGCTACCGTCCAATGCCTTCACCCCAGCCCTCAGTACCTGTCTGTGCAATGATTACCCCAGGGGATTTAACTACCAGGAACTGCCTTGCCTGCTCAGTAAGTTGGGGGCTTCAACTCTTTACAGAGAGTCCAAGTCTTAGAATGTAACCAACTCTACTAATAAAAATCCTATAGTTTGTTTTCCCCAGTTAGCCAGTCTTGTATCTGATAGTTCCCCCACTACACTTACCCTTAGAAGAACAATCTAAAAGTCATCCTTTAATATTTTGGGGCAAAACAAAAACAACACATTTTTTAAAAAAATCCTTTAATAAAATTAGTCCATCTGAAACTCCCCAATACTTAAGGTACTACTCTTGAATGGGTTAGATGCTAAATTCCAGTTCAGAAGCCCACGGAGACTGGGTCCAGATGGGGTCACCGGATTGTGCTGGTATACATCTAGGTGCTGAGCAGTGCGGCTGGAGTGGGGAGGCCTCGCTGCAGGTCAGCTGCAGGCGTGCGCGCACAAGCCCTGCAGTCCACACGGTCGCTGCCCACCTCCCCCATCCTCACGGGAGGCTCCCACCTCTGGGGAAAGGCGGGCACATTCCGGTATCTGTCTTGGCTGCACCGCCCAGATCTACAATTAAGATGGAGGTGGTAAAGGGAACGCCTGAACAAATTTAAGGATCAAAGTGTACTCCACCAAAGCCTGGAAGTCAACAGCCATGTCTGAGGTCGCGACCTAAGCACCGAGCTGAAGAATCTGAGGGGGCTTTGCCGGCGACTCACCTTCCCGGTCTGCCGCCGCTCACCTCAGCCTACGTGAGCCTACGTCAGAGCAGCAGGCCTGGCCTTCCAGAAGGTCCGCAGCCCATCAGCCACTCAAAAGGCAGGATGGCTGAGTCACAGCTCCGGAGACAACCAGGGCGAGCGGCGTTCAACGGTTGCTCCTCGGTGGAAAACAAGAGCGGGACCCGCGAACACGCGCAGGGGGAAGGGCAGCCAGCCGCTGGTGGCAGGTGTTGGGGGGGGGGGGTGGCGGGGACTGCAGCGGGCCGCCGTGGCTCAGCTCTTTCCATAAGGGCTGTGGTGGCCCTTAAAAGGGCCTTTGTGGTAGCACAGGTTGGCTCGGGCTCCCGCGGGGGCAGAGCAGGCGCCGCTCAGTACTCCTGAGAGGCCTGAGTGGCCTTCTTGCCGCCCGCCGGCGCTTTCGGCCCTACGGTGGCACTGGTTTTCTTGGGCAGCAGCACGGCCTGGATGTTGGGCAGGACGCCTCCTTGGGCGATTGTCACGCCGCCCAGTAGCTTGTTGAGTTCCTCGTCGTTGCGGATGGCCAGCTGCAGGTGACGGGGGATGATGCGTGTCTTCTTGTTGTCGCGGGCCGCGTTGCCCGCCAGCTCCAGGATCTCCGCGGTGAGGTACTCGAGCACCGCCGCCAGGTACACAGGCGCACCGGCCCCCACTCTCTCGGCGTAATGGCCCTTCCGCAGCAACCGATGAACACGGCCTACTGGGAATTGAAGGCCTGCGCGCGATGAGCGCGACTTGGCTTTGGCACGGGCCTTGCCTCCCGTCTTGCCGCGACCAGACATAGTGCGCGAGTTAAGAGAGCCTTGACAGCCTTGACAACGTCAACACCCAGCCGCTCGCTGCAGTCTAACTGCTGCCGCGAACGCCCAAGGGCTGTCCTTATAAGCCCCCAGGGCACACCTCCCTACCCTCCTGATTGGCTCTTGTCTCTAAAGATGCCTCTGGTTGGTTGCGGTTAATCCTTAGGTGACGTAGTGCAGCTGAGGGAGCGCGACAGCTGATTGGCCAAATTTGAAAACCTTTTGCCCGGGGAAAATGGCGAGGAGCAGCGGCTACCTAACAGCTAACCATCCCTCATCCAGCCAATCCGTGGGAAGCGCGCGAGATTTAAACGCTACAGCCTGCGGCCTAAACCAGAAGACAAAGAGGGTGGAGTCTGAAGCTTTGGGAAATGTGTGGGGCCTGGGATTTGTAAAGGAAAAGGCTTAGTACTACAACCACCTCTGCCTCCCCTACTAGGTCTTGTCACTCCCTCTTCCTATCCTGCAGACTGAAAAAGGAAAGAAATGAGAGCCTCTGAAAGTTTCGATCCCATATCAGAGAAAACTCCAATCTTACGGCCCTTCATGCCACTTTAAGTATCGGGATTTCAATATTTATTAAACATCTTGTCTGGTTTCAGTTGGTTCTGCTCACATCTTGCTAGAAGGGGCCTGGTGTACTGAGCGGGGGGGTTGGCCAGAGCAGAGAGATAGGCATCTTCGTGGAGGAAGTGCCTCCACCAAACCCTCCCAATCTACCCTAAAATGGTCATATAGTAAACACACCTACAAGAACAAGACAATACTTTATTGTTATCACTAGGAGCACCTGTCTCCCCAACCCCCCACCTGATTTTACTAATTAGAATACTTAATTTATAGTCTAATGTGAAGTCGTCTTCGAGCCTGTGTCCCTCTTACCAGCCAGGGTTCTATCCCCAGGCCCAACATATTCCTTGAAAGTCAATGCAGTTTTCCAACCTAGGGGGCTGCAAAGATGTGATGGATAGGGAGAGTGGTAAGCTGAAGAAAACTACAGGCAAAATCCAATCAATAGTCACTGGAGGGCAAGAAAGGGCCAGTATGTCAATAACCACAGGGGAAAGGAAATGCTAAGAAGAATGAGGTGTGGGAGGGGCCTGGGCTGAGAAGCAATCTTGTTCTAGAATGAGGTTGGTTTGAGTCAGGAATCCTGGAAATGTGAAATAAGAGCAATGACCAGGGACTCAGACATCATAGAAGAGTCGGACAAGCTGGTACCGAATGGAGAAGGTGACAGCACTGCCCAGGATCTGCAAGGTAGAATGGACTAGAGTGAGAACCATGGAGAAAGGGAGACAAGAAGGTGTAAATGCCATTCCCATCTGTACCTGTAGCAGCAGCAGGAGCAGTGTGAGGTTTCTCTCATGCATGGGCCCAAAGACTTTAAGTAGCAAGTTGATGAGGGTCATGTTGTTACACTCAATGAAGGCACCATCCTCATTCTCACTCTGGCGCACTGTCACCAGCTGGAGACTCTCTGCTATCTGGAAGGGCCAGAGGTGGAGAGAACTTCAGCTAATACCTATGCTTTTTGAATGAGGATCTACATAATGCTTCCAAACTCCCCTTGGATCTAATGCAGCCTAGGTTCCCCATTCCCTGATTTCAGGATTGTGACCTATAAAGCCTTACCTCCTTTTTCCCCTGTTACCTTTAGAATAAAGGTGCCCAAGAAAGAAAGGCTCTTGGTCTTGAACTTGGAATAACTCATCTCCAGTTTGCCTGTGTTGGTATTAAGTCTGCAGGGGGAAGAGAGCTTTATGTAACTGGGCCACTACTTAAAGAACTATCCTCAGTGTTGTTATGTAATGGAAGAGCACTGAATGTGGAGTCAAACAACTTGAGATATATTTCTGGCTCTGCTGCTTACTACTGTGATCAGAGCTGCTGTGAACAGTAAATGAGATTATGTAAGTAAATGTGCTCTGTAATTTGTAAAATGTTAATCACATGGAAACAGTCAGCTCTTCTTTGGGCCCACTCACTTTGCACAGCAAATGTGTAAGCCTTGCTTTATGCATTACAGTGAAAAAGCTATGATGCCCCTTTCAAGCCCCAAAACAGCTACCTGGGCACACGGTGGCGAGGACAGGGGATGATGTGCAGGAGCTGAGGCAGTGAATAGAGAAAGTTGAACACCTGGGGCATGAAGAAGAGTAGCATGGTCTTGCTGAAGTGTCCCAAGATGCCTACCACGGCAAAGGTCATGCCAGCAAAGTAACAGAAGGTATCTCCCACAAACACCTGTGATGGGTACCTGTGTCGGGGAGAAGATCCAAGCTAGTGGCAACAGGCATTACCAATCTTTTCTGTCATATCACACATCTTGGGCACAGGGCTAGCCCTAACCCTAGTTCTGACTCTGAGACTCCATGCAGCTCTCCCAGAAACTCACCAGGACCCAAGGCCCTGAATTCATCTATTCCTGGGGCACCACAGCATTTGTCCCCAACCACTGCTGGGTAGAAAGCAATTTAAGGGGGGAGGAGGGTATAAGGGGACTAAATAATAATGGAAATAAAAATATAATAAAGATTAAACTTTTTAAAAAAGCAACTTAAGAATACTATACATTGAAGACCCAGAAAACACTCAACAGGTATGCATAGGCCTAGCCTCTCCATCAGGAAATGCGTCATGATCGGGACCATACTTGCCACATGTTCAAAAACTGTCCCTCTATCCATATGCCTACTTACCAGTTATGATAGAGCAATCCCAAGGTGGTGAAAAAAAAGGGTATCATGAAGTAGAGGGAAAAAACATGATCATCTCGACAATCACCTTTGGAAGCAGGGGGAAAAGAAAGGAACAATTGACAGCCACTTCCGCTACATACCCTGTTTCTGTCTCTAAGTTATATCCCAAGCTATTATTGTCCACCCTTCCCAAGTTACATTAAAAAACTCACTACCCCTTTTATGTCACCCAGGCAATTCTCAACATTCCACTTCTTTCATAATCCTTCCTAAACTAGTTATTTGTCTTAAATTGGTTTAAACCTTTCAGACCTCACTTTGAATGAATATGAGCTTACTTCTGAACTGTTTAACCTTATCATGACACATTTAACCTCTCTAAAGCCTCCTTTTCCTCATTTGTAAAATATAGTTAATAACACCTACCACAGAGAGCTATTACAAAGTTTAAATGAGATGCTTTAAAAGTGCTTAGCTTTAACACTTATTGATGTCTATTAGCTAAAGACCCACGAAACACACCTGTCATCAAAGCTGGATTTACTGACTTGTGACACAGGAGACTTTTGGAAACCACATATCATGGGAACTGTGGGATTCCTTGGTAAGGGGGTATAAGAGGATTTGTTATAGAATTTGTTTTAGTAGTTCTGAGGAGGTCCTGACTCGTATGGCTCAACGGATTGTGCCTCGTCCTGCAAACCAAAAGGTCGCTCATTTGGTTCTCATTTGGCACAAGCCTGGTTTGCAGACCAGGTCCCGGGTTGGGGGCTTGAGAGAGGCAACTGATCGTTGTTTCTCTCAAACATTGAAATAGACCCTTGCCCTCTCTCTAAAAATAAATAAACAAATAAAATGTATTTTTTAAAAAAGCAATTCTAAGCCCTGGCTGGTGTAGCTCAGTGGATTGAGTGCAGGCTGCAAACCAAAGTGTCGCAAAGGGAAAACTTTGATTCCCAGTCAGGGTACATGCTTGGGTTGTGGGCCATGACCCCCAGCAATCGCACATTAATGTTTCTCTCTCTCTCTCTTCTCCCTCCCTTCCCTCTCTAAAAAAATAAATAAAATAAAATCTTAAAAAAAAAGCAATTCTGAGGATAAAAGGAGGCAGTTCTGCCCTCATATGGGTGCTGTCAACAGGAGTGATTCTATGAGCGTCTTAATTTTCATCTAAGTAGGAGGAACTGAGTTAGAAGTAAGAAGCAATCACTCATGTTAGCTAGAAGAGGGGGATCTTGGTCATTTTGTGGAATTCAGAGTGTTCTTGTGGTTTTTGTTTATGCTCAGACCTAGTAACAGAAGGGTCTGGTTTATGTCTTTATCATGGTGACAGAGTGATTTGGGGGTTCTGTGAAATTATTTATGTTCAGTAAGAAAAGACCATGGGCTACCTATTAGAGTTGATCTAACTATAAAGGTCGGGGCTGCTCTTTTTCTTACATTTAATAAATCCTAGTTGTTATTTGCAAAGTAAATCCCTTTCCTTATTGTCTATAATTATTAACATATTGCTTTTTTTCCAAATTCTCCGAAACTAGATATCAGGCAACTCCCTTAACACTTAGACTTCTCTATTCCTACCCCCAATCCCACTTACCTTCCAGCTCTACCAGGTTGAAGATGATGATGGAAGCAGAAATGACTAGTGACTGGCCAGCCTCTAGGCCATTAATTCCTGCTAGGATATTGATGGCATTGGTACAAAACACTGCCAACAGCCCCATGTAGACATAGTACAGGATCCCTGGGGGGTGAAGATAGTAAGAAAAGAAGTAGTACCACGTATAGAGTGAGGATTTAAGGATATTCTTTTGGAAAAAAAAAAAAGTGGGGACAAAGGATAGGATGAAGGGCCAACAGAAAGGATCTGAGAAAACACAGACAAATCAGGGACACTTGGAGAATGTGGAGCACCAGGAAGGAAGGATCTTACGGGATAAGGGTGCTCTGAAGTAGGGGACATAGGGGCAGTAGTAGCGGGGCTACTCACCCAAGTCCAAATGCAGGCCTAGAATCGGTCGAAAGGGCTTGGGTACCACAATGGTCGTGTTGCCAAAGTTGGTGAAATAGACCATGAGGAGAGGTAGTGAGGCAGCTGTGGGCAGCAGCAGCTTATGGCGCCATTGCAGATTCAGGACATCATCCGCGAAGCCCAGGAAAATCATGCAGCAGATGGCAAGGAGCGCACCTATCAGGGCCACAAACTGGGGGAGGCTCGGGCAAGTCACAGCTCAACCCGATTCCCACTTCACCATTGCTTTCAAGAATTCCTCTTTTTGTTCGTTCCTCAGCCCCTTCCTCCCAAACCCAAATAACCCCAACTCTCAAGTAGCTCCCAGCCCCAACCAGACAACCGCTCCCACTAACCCACTTACTTCATGGTGGGGGAAAGCTTTACATTGCTCTTCCACAAAGCAGTTCAGGAAAGGGAAAGGGATGAAGCAGAAGAGAATGATAAGGAAAACAGCACCGCTGATCACTCCCTGGGACTCGGGGCTGTGTCCCAGCAGCAAGGAGGTGTGGAGGGGAAAGAGGAAAGGGGGCGTGGTCACTCACTCCTCCATGCTTCACAGTAACCTAATTGGGGGTGGGGAGCACGCACCCCTGGCTGGAGTCCCTGGTATACCCCGGAGCTTGCCCTTTCCCCTCACTAACCATCCCTTTGCAGTTCTGTCCTTCACCTCCCGATGGGGGTGGGGGTGGGAGTGTCTGTTGGGTTAGAGCTGCATCTCCGCACGCGGTCAAACACCCTAGTCCCAGCACCTGCCTTGCCCACCCGGGCCACAGCCCTTGTCCTCTGCCCGGGACCCGTGTGCCGCCGCTCACATCTGCTTCTGGCCGGATTTGTTGAGGTCCTGGCCACAGAGGCGGGCGGCGATGAAGTGGCCACGGAAGGCTGGGATGAGGGTGACTGTGGCCACGAACCCTAGCAGCGAGCCGATCAAATTCACCAGCAACGGCGTTGGCAACTCCGGGAAGGCCCTCATAGTGACGGACCAGGGGGGTCCACTCTGCTGCCTCCTCAGCTAATGCTCAAGCAGGGAAGAAGTCCTGAGCCCCCAGCAGTGAGGAGAGGACGCTCTCCACAGGCTGGTGTTCCCACACCTGCCTGAGCAAAACCCAACAATTCTGAAGAGTCTCCTTCGCCACTCCCGCAGGCCTCTATATAGCAACTTAAGCTCCGCCCTATTGTATTTACAAGCCCACTGTTTCCGCCCGGGTCGTGTTCACAGAGCAACTATCCTTGCTGAAGGCGGAGGTGGCCATTTTTAATATGGGCAGCAGAGTTGGGATAGAATTATCTCAAACTACGTTTTTTACTCGAGAACTGAGTCATCACGTGGATACTGGAAAAGCAATTAAAGGCAAAAGCAGGTACTTTCCTATCACATTAAGGATGTAAAAACTAAAGCGGAAAAACTCTTGCCCGGTTCCAAGATGAACGACTCTTGACCACGTGTCTGACTCCACTTACTCTAAGTTCCACGTCAGTTTTAGTTCCTTCGGTCTCCGCAGGTCAAGTTTAAAGGGCCAGTAACCTGAGCTTACTATGGGATACCTCTGGAGTAGGGGAGACGGCTACTGGAAGCAAGGGGAAAAGGCAGGAGGGACGATAATGTAGAGCAGCATTTGCTCCTCGTAGAAAACCTGTACCTACTGTAGTCGGAAGCCAAGGTAAATACAACTAAGTTCCCGGAAACGCAGCTACAGTTTGGAATATGATGTGAATTCTAAAGGGTAGACTTAAAAAGCCCCATCCTACTCCGTGCTTTTCTTTCTTTAAAAAAAAATTAATAAATTCCAGTATTTAATATAGTAAGCCTATAAAATATTCTTGTTATAATTTTTTTTTATTTGTAGAGAGAGGGAAAGGCAGGTAGAACGAGAGGGAGAGAAACCTCGATGTGAGAGACAAACATTAATCACTTCCCCTCCCACGTCCCCAACTGGGGACCTGGCCCGCAAACCCAGGTATGTTTCCTGACTGGGAATCAAACCCGCAACCTTTCAGTTTGTAGGCTGGCCCTCAATCAACTGCGCCACACCCGCCAGGGTCTCCATGCTTTTCCTGTCCTTGCTCTTAGTACTTTTCCTTAAGCGTCCCACCCACCCTGTGCCCCTTATGGTGGCACTTAGTTCCTGGGCAACTAGCATTTACCGCCAAAGGGGGTGGGAATGTTCTGAAGTCATGGATTTAACCCGGTACTTGACACTCCTTGGTCGTAGATCACTGCATTGCGCCCAGCTACCAAGCCCGGGAGGTGAGACTGAGGCGCTGGAAATAGCTAAGGAAGCAGGAGAGCTAGAACTATACGCGGCTGCCTATGAGCCTGAGGAACTCCAAGTCCAGTTTCTTCTTTCAGGTCACCGTGTCTTTTTCTCAGCACCTGTTTCCTTGCAAATAACCATTCACCAACATCTTCATTCTTTTCCTCTCACCCACAGGCTCACCCATTAGACGACAAATGTATTCTATTCCTGGGAGGAAAATCACCCCCAGGGAGTTTGGAAGACTCAAGTATCCTGGCACTTTGTCCACTACTGTGAATATGACTAGTTCGAGGAGGAAGGGTCAGGTTGACTTTTTTTTGTTTGAGCAAAGATAGTCCTTCATCCCCCCGCCCCCACCTTCTTTCAAAACTAGTGTTTCATACAAATATCTCTTCTACTTGCAGGTGGCTCTAATTAACAACAAAAAACCATATACTTTATATACATGAAGTGAGCTCAGCGATTTACTTTAGCAAATTTTTAACACTTATTATTTCTCTAGTATTGTGTGTGTGCACCTAAAAAGTCCATGAAAAAGCTTTGGATAGTGCAGGGGTTATGACACTTGCGGGGCCAGATCTATGGCTCTTTCTGGGCAGCTGAGTTACTCTTTTTGCTTTTTAAAAAATATATTTTATTGATTATGCTATTGCAGTTGTCCCATTTTTCTCTCCCCTTTATTCTCCTTCACACTGCACCACCCCTCCCATCAGCATTCCACCACCTTAGTTCATATCCATGGGTCTTACATATAAGATCTTTGGCTTCTCCATTTCCCATACTATTCTTAACCTGCCCCTGTCTATTTTGTACCTACCATTTATGCTTCTTACTCCCTGTAGCTTTTCCTCCATTCTCCCTCTCTCCCTCCCCACTGATAACCCTCCACGTGATCTCCATTTCTGTAGTTCTGTTCTTGTTCTGATTGTTTGCTTAGTTTGTTTTAGGTTGAGTTGTTGATAGTTGTGCGCTTGTTGTCATTTTACTGTTCATATTTTTTAAGATTTTATTTTTATTTACTTTTAGAGAGGGAAGGGAGGGAGAAAGAGAGAGACAGAGAGACAGAGACAGAGAGAGAGAGATAGAGACATCAATGTGCGATTGCTGGGGGTCATGGCCTGCAACCCAGGCATGTACCATGACTGGGAATCGAACCTGCGACACTTTGGTTTGCAGTGCGAGCTCAATCCACTGAGCTATGCCAGCGAGGGCCTTACTGTTCATATTTTTGATATTCTTTTTCTTAGGTAAGTCCCTGGAGCATTTTATATAGTAAGGGCTTGGTGATGATGAACTTTAACTTGACCCTATCTGGGAAGCACTTTGTCTGCCCTCCCATTCTAAATGATAGCTTTGTTGGATTGAGTAATCTGGGATGTAGGTCCTTGCTTTTCATGACTTTGGATACTTCTTTCCAACCCCTTCTTGCATGCAAGCTTTCTTTAGAGAAATCAGCTGACAGACTTATGGTCACTCCTTTGAAGGTAACTGTCTCCTTTTTCTTGCTGCTTTTGAGATTCTCTCATTATCTTTACTCTTGGGTAATGTAATTATGACATGGGTTGGTGTGTGCTTCCTTGGGTCCAACTTCTTTGGGACTCTCTGAGCTTCCTGAACTTCCTAGAAGTCTATTCCCTTTGCCAGATTGGGGAAGTTCTCTTTCATTACTTTTTAAAAATATATTTTATTGATTATGCTATTACAGTTGTCCCATTACCATCCCCCCCTTCATTCCCCTCCACCCTGCACACCCTCTCTCACCCACATTCCCCCCCTTTAGTTCATGTCCATGTGTCATAAGTTCTTTAGCTTCTACATTTCCCATACTATTCGTGCCCTCCCCCTATCTATTTTCTACCCACCATTTATGCTACTTATTCTCTGTACCTTTTACCCGCCCTCCTCCCACTCCCCTGTTGCTAACCCTCCATGTGATCTCCATTTCTGTGGTTCTGTTCCTGTTCTAGTTGTTTGCTTAGTTTAGGTGTGGTTGTTAATAATTGTGAGTTTGCTGTCCTTTTACTATACATGTTTTTATCTTTTTCTTAGATAAGTCCCTTTAACATTTCATAAAATAAGGGCTTGGTGATGATGAACTCCTTGAACTTGACCTTATCTGAGAAGCACTTTATCTGCCCTTCCATTCTAAATGAAAGCTTTGCTGAATAGAGCAATCTGGGATGTATGTCTTTGCCTTTCACGACTTGGAATACGTCTTTTCAGCCGCTTCTTGCCTGCAAGGTCTCTTTTGAGAAATCAGCTGAGATCTGATGGGAACTCCTTTGTAGGTAACTATCTCCTTATCTCTTGCTGCTTCTAGGATTCTCTCCTTCATTTTTACCTTGGGTAATGTAATTATGATGTGCCTTGGTGTGTTCCTCCTTGGGTCCAACTTCTTTGGGACTTTCTGAGCTTCCTGAACTTCCTGGAAGTCTATTTCCTTTGCCAGAATGGGCAAGTTCTCCTTTATTATTTGTTCAAATAAGTTTTCCACTTGTTGCTCTTCCTTTTCTCCTTCTGGTACCCCTATAATTTGGATGTTGGGTCGTTTAAAGATTTCCTGGAGGTTCCTAAGCCTCTTCTCAGTTTTTTGAATTCTTATTTCTTCATTCTTTTCTGATTGTATGTTTTTTTTTTTATTCCTTGTGGTCCACTCTATTGATGTGAGACCCAGCTTTCATTCCATCACTATTGGTTCCCTGTGCATTTTTCTTCATTTCATTTATTGTAGCCTTCATTTTTTCATCTAATTTGCGACCAAAATCAACCAATTCTGTGAGCATCCTGATCACCACTGCTTTGAACTGTGCATCTGATAGGTTGGCTATCTCTTTGTCGCTTAAAAGTAGTAGCTCTGGGGCTTTGAATTCTGTTTGAGCCATCTTTTTTTTCCTTTGGTTTGGTCACGCCTGTTATGTATGAGGGGCGGAACCGTAGGTGTTCACCGGGGTGGGGCACCCAGTCGTTGGGTTGTGACGTTGTATTTTGGGGGCCAGGTCCGAGAGGGAACAATGGCGCTTGCTCCACTCTCCGTTGTACCTAAGTCTCTTCCGCTGCTTCCCCCGAGCAAACTGGTCTCCTCTGGTGCCAATTCCTGTGTGGGTGGGCTTGTGTACCCCATGGGACTTTCTAAGGACTTCTCCTGTGAGGCTAGGAGTCTCTCCCTGTGCCTCAACCCCCACAGGTGTTTTCGGTCAGTGTCCTGAGGCTTTATTTCCCAGTGCTGTGATCCTGGGTTGCATGTAGTGCCCTGTTTCACAATCCCTGCCTCGCTGGGTCTGCTGATTGCCACCCCTTGGCCGGGGTCTGCCATCTGCTGCTTGCGGGATCAGGGTCCACCCACTGCGGTTTTGCGCACCCCGGATGCCTTACGCACCCGGTCCCAACGCTCTCTGTGCCTCAACCTGCACCCGGCTGCCCGACTCCGCCCTTCCTACTGGTCTGGATGAACATGTCTATTTTAACTTCTTGGCTGTCTGACTTCTATAGAGTTCAATTTTCTGTCAGTTCTGGTTGTAATTCTGTTTCTAAATTGTTGTTGCCCCTATCTTGGTTGTGCGAAGAGGCATAGTGTGTCTACCTATGCCTCCATCTTGGCCGTAAGTTCCTCTAAAATAAGTCTTTAAATCTTGCTCTTCCTCTTCTCTGCTGGCACCTCTATGATTCCAGTGTTGGAATGTTTAAAGTTGTCCAGGAGTTTTCTAAGCCTCTCTTCATTTTTTTGAATTCTTGTTTCTTCATCTGTTCTGGTTGAATGTTTATTTCTTTCTTCTGGTCCAAAACGTTGATTTGAGTTCCCTGTTGGTTCCCCATCACTGTTGGTTCCCTGTACATTTTCCTTTATTTCACTTTGCATAGTCTTCACTTCTTTCTCTATTTTGAGACCATACTCAGCCATTTCTGTGAG